TTAGGGGAAGAAGARGAGAACTATTAGCCGGAGAGGAAGAGAAGAGCCAGGGGACTACAAAGAAAATAGATACGGGTTGTCCAAGAGAATTATGGGGAGAATAGGAATAAACTTATGAGCGGGAGAAGAGGAGATTTCCGTGGGAAATAGGAAGATAATTATTTCCTGAAGGGGAAGGGGAATATTAGCTAGGGAGGTGGGGAAGAATTTGGGAAATAAAAAGAGAATCAATACGTAGTGTGCAAGGCAATTATTGGGAGAATAGGAATAAAAAGTTTAACAGGAGAGAAGGAGAAATCTGATGGAAAGAGGAAGACTAAAACCTCTGCAAGAAGAAGAGAGCATTAGCGGAAGAGGAAGGGCGTGAGTAAGGCCATCTAAAGACAATTTTTTTGTGGCGTGCAAGGCAACGATCGCGAGAATAGCAATAACATTATTAGCGGGGGAGATGAAGAACTCTGAAGGAAAGAAGAAGAATATTATTCCCTCAAGAAGAAGATTAGAAATAGCCAGAGAGTAAGAGAATAGCTGGGAAAATACAAAGAGAAACATTAGGTGGCATGCAAGAGAATTATGAGGAGAATAGGAATCAAATAATTAGCGGGAGAAGAAGAGAATTGTGAGGAAAACAGGAAGATATTTCTTACGGGAAGAAGAAGAGAAGTATTTGCCGGATAGGGAGAGAATGGCTGGGGGCACAAAAAGCGAATTATTATGTGGTGGGAAGTCAATTATTGAGCAAAGAGGAATAAAATTATTATCCGGACAGGCGGGGATTTCTAAGCGAAACATGGAGTAAATTATTACGTGAACAGAAAGAGAAGTATTAGCCGGAGAGAAAGAGAATAACGAGAGGAAGATCAAGAAAATTGTTATGTGTCATGCAAAGGAATTATTGGGAAAATAAGCACACAAATATTAACTGGAGAGAAGGGAAATTCTGACAGCAATAGGTAGACAAATATTACTGCAAGAAGAACAGAACTATTAGAAGACGAGAAGTATTATATTAGTATTAGTAGTATTAGAAGAATTATTATGAATTATGCTTATTATTTTCTCTGCTTACAAAGCAGGAGAATTATGAATTAAATAGGAAAGTAATTATAGGAGGTAGAAGAAGAGATAATTTTATCCAGAAAGGAAGAGATGTATTAGAGATTTTTAGCAGTTGAAAAAAAGATTCTCTTGGGTCTCTAAAGAGGTAATTAATACCTCAAGCAAACAAAAATGAGGGGGAGAATAAGAATAAATTTATCAGCAGGAGAGGAAGAGAAATATGAGGGGCATCAGTAGAGAATTATTGGCAGGAGGGAAAGAGATTTATTGGCTGGAGGAAAATTAAATCTTAAGGGATAGATAAAGGGAATTTTTAGTGGGTAAAAAACAGAACTATTAGTGGAAGACAAACAGAGGTATTAGGATGAGCAAAACAGAATTATTATTCTGTTTTCAGGTACATTCATTCATTCTATAGTGATTCTACGTTCTAAAGAATTACTATGGCGAGCGAAAGGAGGAGCACGCTCAAGGTATTACAGAGAATGCAGGAAAGAGTTTTATTGAGTGCCAAAGAGAATTCCTATGGAAAACGAGAATCAAGTATAATTGCATGTAGAAATGAAATGCTGCAGAGAGTAACAATTCCTACAGGGGAAAAAAGAGGATGCAAAAAAGAATTATTGCACAGCATATGAGTATGAACTATTACGAAGAGAGAAAGGGGCAGGAAGAAGGATTTATTGGGGAAAGTTCAAAAGAGTTATTGTGGGGAGAGAAAGGGCTAATGAGGAATCGTTGTGGAGTGCACAGAAAAACATATTTATGGAACGTGCAGAATAAGCATAGCAGATAGCAAAAAAGAATTATTGCAAGGAGAGAAAGTTGGAGCACAGGGGAATTATTGCAGAGAGAGAGAGAAAGGAAGAGGAATTATTGCAGGGAGAGGGACAGGGCTCACAGGAAAGAAGTCTGGTGGAGCGGGGGAAATAAGTATGGCAGAGCGTGCGAGGAGAGATGGTTGCGGCGTGCGTGGGAAAACTTTTACGTAGAGCAGGAATTGTTGTTGAGGGCAAGAAATAATCATTTCGGGGAGAGAAAGGGGGAGCACAGAAGAATTTTTATGGAGTGTGCAAGAAGGAATGATTGCAGAGAGATTTATTACAAGGAGAGAGCAGGGGAGCACAAAAAGGACTGATTATGACAAGTGTGAAAAGTAGTTATTATGGAGAGAGAAGGAAATGGGTTTACAGTCAGGGGAAAGAGAGAAGAAGAATTAGGGAGAGACAAATAATTAGAGAGCAAAAAGAAGAGCACTTGGGTTGGCCACCTCTTTCCAAGCCCCCACCTTTTGGGTGCAGCAGCTCTAATATTCCTGCCAGGCAGGTGTGTGGGCACAGATGAATTAAAAGGGCATAATTTCAAAGTAGCAGGGTTCTTTTAAGCTCCTCACTAGCATTTTGTTTTCTTTTGAAACAAAACTTGTGTGTCCCCCATACGCCAACCTGCCAACATTCTTGGCCAAGAAAGGCCATCAAGTCCTCTTCACTTGGTGGGTCTAAATCAAAAGGGTGGAGACAGTCACATCAAAAAGAGCCTTCTCTGGCTGACCCTACTATGAACTTACAGAGAACACCAGAAGAGGCAGCAGGGGCCTCGCCAAGAGCCCTTGTTCCAGCGGAGCCAGTCAACCTTATCCGTTTCAGTCCTGAGCTTCTCCGCTTCCTCGGGGCTCACCAGCCCTCTCAGCTCTGTCAGTCGCAGCAGGAGCTGCCCGTTTCACAGATGCGGAGCCCCAAGGCCACTTTCTCCCACTGCCGGCTGCTCCCCACCTCCGCAGCGAGTGCACCCGCTCTGAGCCAGAACTGGCACCCTAAATGGATGCACAGAAAAAGGGCGATTCAGCTCCGCGCTCTGGCAGACTTGGCTCCACACTCCAGGCACGGGCAGAGACGGTGGCGCCAAATCCACGCCAGGCCAACCCCGCGCTGCCACCTGCACACAGCGAAAGCCCCACCGGCAGGCCACAGCCCAAGGCCCGCAACCACCCAAACCAGCCCAAGGCCCACAACCCACCATCGCAGATCCCCTCACCGCACTCCTCCGCAGTGCTCCTGTCTGGGGCCGTACGTGTGCCCCAGCGCAGTGCCGCGCGAGATGGAACCAAAGCCACCACGCAGATGCTGCCAAGAGGGGACCGAGCGGAGGCCAGAGGTGGAAAGCTAGGGAGGGAGCAGGTGAGACCAACAGCGGCCTCAAGCTGTGAGAGGGAAGATTCGGATTAAAAGTTAGGAAAAAAAATCTAAATGAAGAGAGTAGTTAAACCTGGGAATAGGCTGCTTAGCAAAGTGGTGGAGTCACCGTCCCTGCCAGGGTTCAAGAAATGTGTAGATGAGAGGGGTTTAACAAGCAGAGCATTAAAAGGCTTACAGTTGGACTTGATGGTCTTGAAAGTCTCTGAAGATATCTTGAAGATTACTGAAATGTCAGAGCGCGTAGCAGTTGACAGTGGTGTGCTGACACCGGCAAGCTGCTGGAGGATAGCGGAGAACCCAGACTTATGGCCACACTTCTGCTTCTCTGATCTTCAGGTGAAGCAGTGAGCACCGGGGAGCGCTAAGTGCACGTGCTTTTCCTTACCTTTTCAGGACAGCTACTTCAATAGTGGAGAGCGGCAGCACGCAAAGCAACCTGTGCATACGCACCCCGCCTCCCCCACTCCACCCCCAGCTATTGCGGTACTGATTTTTAGGCACAGGAGGGTAGCAGGGAGTGCTGCACAATGCAGAGCGCATGCATGCTGCCCCTACGCCTGCAGTTCTGTGGTTTTGACAAGTTCAAGAGGCTTTGTTTGCTTTTCAGAATGGATGTTTTTTTCCTAAACATTAGCGTATGAGCCTTGTTTTATTACTGTTTAAATAATAAGAATACCGAAGGCTCCAGTCCCGCTCTTGAATAGATATATAGGTAGCCAGGTTTTACCTGGAAATGCAGATTCTCCAAAGCTGGTGGCAAGAAAAATTTTGCAGCCCGCTCTGGGTTTGCCATTGCCAGGGATCAATAGGACCCTGACCCTTCGCTGCTAATGGTCAGAATGCGTTTCTATCGCATCTCTGGGGTTAGAACAGGCATGGGGAGCACAGAGCACAAGCACTGGCTCCCTGATGGAGTGGTACCGAAGTTCAAGGGCGCCATTCACTTACTTATCAGAATAGCAGGACTTTTATGTGGTGTTTTTTGTTTGATTGGGGTTTTTTGGGGGGGGGGGGGGGGGGAGGAATTTTTTCGACAGTGCCCGTAGTCGAACGGCTATTCATTTTTAAAGGATAGGTGTCCCTGCTTGAGCAGGGGCTGGGACCAGATGATCTCTAGAGGTCCCTTCCAACCTCAACCATTCTGTGATAAGAAACCCCTTATTTTATATAGAGATGTGTGTATCCACCATCCTTACCTGGCCTGAGGCAAGCAGTTCCTTCCAAGGGGTGCAAGAAAAATGCTACTGCCTAGTCCATACTGGCCCTTTCTAGGAGCTTAAGATGACGTCTCCAGTCTGGGGTAGCTGTCTGCTTCACTTGCAGTTTTGCTTTCTGGATGTGTGAGTGCAGCCTTAGGGGTGGGAACGTAGGCTGCATGCACGCCATAACTCTGGAGTATTCATTTTTGGACACACGAAAGCAGTGCTGAGCACGGCAGTGGCACTGTGCATGCATGTATGGGCCTTAACCATTGCAGTACTACTTGTAGCTAGGGGATGGCTGCAGTAAGTGCTCCGGTGCACTGGTGCAGTGAGTGCTGCCAGTGCCACCCTGTGCTGACACTGTACAGCCTCCTTCCCACGTGAAGGGACTAAGTGACAGGGTGAGTGGTGGAGCCCCTTGCACGCAGGTGGGGAGTCAGCCCCTTGACCACACGCGCAGAGCGGTCTTCATTCGGCCCATGCGCATTGGCACCGCAAGGATGTCTTTCTGCAGCAAAGAGACCGCTCTACTTTCCAGCATATCTGGTTTTTTTAAATTTTTTTTTATTCTACTAAATCAACATCACTTCTATTACAGTCTGAAAACAAACCGTTATGCCTGGGCATGTATTTCATGCAGATGTGCTTGCATCTCTCTCATACCTGGTTTGAAGTAGGCAGCTTCTTCTGAAGGCTTCAGAAACCAAGCTTTCACCTGAACAGTGTGAAAATACAAACCAGGATTACTCATCGGCTACACTAAAAAAGGAAAAAAAAAAAAAAGTGTGAGTACGTATATATAATAATATATATATAAACTTGGGTTTAAAATTAGTGAAATTCCACCCCCAAAATATTTCAGGGGTGAATTACTCTATTCTGCTACCCTGACTACATCCCTCCCCCACCCCTGGACAGACACACACAAGCTACCACCGGCCACTAAGCTCGACAAGAGCACGCTTGTGCAGCTCTGATGCTCTGGAGAAGAACAGGCAGTCAAATACCACCGCCTGTGGCAGAAATGGGCCAACAAAGTCCAGAACAGGAATACAGAAGAAGCCAGCAAGGGAAAAGACAACGAATGCCTCCTGCGCTATTGCCGCGCAGTGGGGGAGGTGCTCCGGGAGCACAAACAACACGAGCAGTACCAGGACCTGAGCAAAAGAAAGTGAAGCTGCAATACAAACCTCAGATGGGCGGGAGCTGTCGGCTCTCATATTCCAACACGTGCACTTTGCTGCCTTTGCCTCTCACGCTGCGCTCATCCAGAAGACGCCTCCGGTCTGCCCTCAACAGCGGGATGCGTGGTCAGGACTCCCCCAGCACGCTTTGCCCATCTGTTGAGCATCTGCAGTACTCCAGGTCTCCATCCCTCTTCACAGTGCATCCTCAAAGGCAGCTGCACCCTCCCCGAGCTACCGATGGTCTTTGTCACCTGCCGAAACAAAAGGCAGGCGGTCACCTCTGTGCCAGGCAGCTACGGCCAAAAGAGCTGCCAAAAGCTGCCACCTCCAAAGCGCCACGGACGCTCTGCTCGCTGGCACCCTGCCGCTTGCCAGGCCACACTCACCGAGCCCGCAAGATGCAACACAATCCGCACACCTGAAGGACTCGGACGTCACTGGAAAAAGCCCCGGCGCGACCTGAACAGAGCAAAGGGCGAGATATTACTGAGAGACAGCTCAACAGCACCCGACATGCAAGAACTTACGAACGCAACAGCCTCTCCTTCTCTCACCCAGTGAGGCTTTTGTCAGCGCTCCAACTGCTCCTCTCCTCAACTCGCGGAAAGATTCTGCAAAGACAGGGAAGTCACGTGCTGCAGTGATGCGAGCAAGACCGCAGCCCATTCCCACGGAGAGTTCGCTCCGGCGCCTTTACCTGCTCCGCTTGCTCCTGCCGACTGCCGGGCTCTGTCACCGCGGGGAAGCTGCTGCCACAGCACCTGTAAAAGCAGAACAACGGTGGGCAACGGGGACGGTGTCAGCAAGACGCTCGCCCTACGCTAAGCTCCAGTTCCTCTCGTGGAGCGACGCTCACCTCGCTGTGCTTGCCCGAGACACGACCAAGCTGCTTGTCACATTCCTCCGCACCTGCACGCACAAAGCAAAAATTCGTCAGGGGACCCACCGATCACAACGCTCCCCTCGCGACAGCAACCGTCGAGCTCACCTTCTTATTAGGGCACAACCCTTTCTTCCTCCATCTCCTGCTCAGAACACTGCTGTGCATCTGCAACGAAACAGAAACGCAACCGGAACGGGAAATGCCGCACGTGGTGGCTGAGCAATCCCCATTCAAGTACCTAAGTGAAACGCTCTACCCACGACCACGCAGCTCCAGCCTCAAAAACAGACACGCACACAACAGGCATAAACGCAGAGGAAAACCCTATGCAAAAGGAACTAYAGCCACACCTAAGATGCTGAGCACCAGAAAGCCCGACGAAGTCACGAGCGTGCGGTGCTCGTGTTCTGGACGAGACCGTAACAGAGTCAAAGGCCGTGGCCCACGATAGAAGGGGCCGGCAAGGACCTGAGACCGCGTGACCACAGGGAAGAGAACCCTGGCGGGACATCGGGAAGGTGCAAAACAAGACAGACCTCAGAGGAGGAAGGAGCAGCTGACGAGGCCTCAGTGACAGTCACAAAGAGGAAAAGCCACAAACGGCCACGAGGCTGGAGAGACAGAGCGCCCCTTAGTAGCCCCGCATGTAACCCAAAATGAGAACCGCTGACACAAGGACAACACCGGGTCTGGCCAAGCAAAAACGCAATGGCCATCCAGAAAAGCCCAAAGCCTGGACAACGCAGGAAATAAAACCATGAAAGGGCACCAGGAAGACACGAGAGCAGGGAGCGGCAGCAGCAGCAGAGACGCAGCGATGGCTGCAAAGACGTCCAGCCCCAACCAACGCTTCCCGCACTAGCGGCACGCAGCGTGGATGCGCTACGGGCGCACAAAGAACGAGAGCAACGTCCAGACCTGAGCAGAAGAGAGCAAAGCTGCGACGCAAACCGCAGACTATGCCACAACGTGGACGCTTCTTTTTAATATCTGAAGCGAGACCAAGGAAAGCGAAGCCAGCTTCGGCACAATTTGACCAGTACTGGAAGAAAGGATCCTGGCAAAATTAATAAGCTAGTCTGACACCGGTACACAATAGATGAGCAAGGAGAGGTACAGTTTTCCCCTGCAAAGCTCCTGAAACAAATGAAATATTTGAAGGTACACTGTAACTTAAGTGCAGAATGACTTTAAGATTACATTACACGAGAAGAAAAACAAACAAACAAACGAACAAACAAAAAAACCCACACCGCCACACCATAAAAATAGTATTTCTCAGTCTAGGTGACAGCAAGTACTCGCGTTCAGCAATTTGCCATACGGGAAGCCGAGATAGAAGCTGAGTTCCAGCACAGGCAGGTTTTCACATTTACCTCAGATGGCAAAAACAATGCTCATGGGGCCCTGTCAAAGTGCTGCCCCAGTCCTGCTCAAATTTGTATCCTATACCTGAAAAACAAGACGGGAACAAAGTTAGAAAAATTACATCATTTCCATTCCTTCCTTTACACAAAATTGCTTCCTAATGTGAAGTAGTACTCTCCATCAGGACAGAGGAACATCAGTTGAGATTTACTTGACCCGGTTAGTCATAGCAAGAGTTGATAGTACTGATTTTAAAAAGGGACAGACAGCCTTTAGGGGAAAAGGTATGACTACGTTTATCTTCCTATTACATTCATGACTTACCTTTGATACAAATCTTTATCTTCTTGGATCATCGTCACAAAGTTGGAACCCAAAGGGATGCATGGTACCAAATCGTCCCGATTTTATGATAAAGCACCAGACTTCTGTGTGATCTAGATCTAGCAAGTGGTAGCAGTGAACACCTTATGCAGAATTACCGGCTGGATCATGAAATCATCATGGCTGGAAAAGACCTTCAAGGTCACAGAGTCCAACCGTAAACCCTGCAACACCATCCTGCTAAAACATATCCCCAAGTGCCTCACCTACACGCTTTTTTTCTGCGCTGCCAAGGACGGCGACTCCACCGTTTCCCTGAGCAGCCTGTTCCAATGCTCGACTACTCTTTCCACGTAGAAATTCTTCCTAACGTCTAGCCCGAACCTCCCCTGGTGCAACTGGAGGCCAGTTCCTCTTGTCCTGCATCTAGTTAGCGTGGAGAAGAGATCGAGCCCTGCCTCGGGGATCAACCTCCTTCTAGACAGTTGTAGAGAGCAATAAGGTCTCCCTCGAGCCTCTTCCTCTCCACACTAAATAAACCCAGCTCCCTCAATGAAACACAAGACAACCAGAGGCAGGGAGATACAAAACACACAAATATGGTCACCTGTTCAGGACAGAAGAGAAGGAGCAAGAGAATCCTCATTCCACAGGGCTGTCCACCGCTCCAGTAATCCCTCCAGTCATTGACAGCTGTGGTAGAAGTATTTAGACTGCAGAAAGACTCCACAGGCAAAAAAAAAAAAAAAAAAAATACCCACTATCTAGCATACTGAAACATCCTTGCTACAGACAAGCTGGCTAGTTTTATAGAACTTGAGCACTGCCACACTGAAATCCTCACTACTCAGCAGTTTGATGAATAAATAACAATTAAAATATAACTACTAAACAACTAAATAACAACTAAAAAATAACAAAGTTCTTCAAAAACTTAATGCTTAATTCTTAACCTACATATTTAGTCCATCAACATCATGAGAAACATCTGTTGTCTATCCCTGACCATGTTAAGCAGTGAGAAAGACACCACGCTAGCGCAGCGAAAGTAGCTCTTACCATACAGACGTGAACAGAGCAAAAACAGCATGGACAGCGTACAGAAATAAAAGCGCTTTTGCTGGAAGTTTGTGCAATCTCTGCTCACGTACTCCCATTTTCTCGATCCCTGTCACACCCCATTACTGCAAGTGACCCAGTCAGGTTAGTGTTTTTCTTATGTAAATACTGGCCAAGGAAGATTGCAAATGATAACACTTCCTCTATAAAACCATTTCATGGTTAATATCTCACTTCTGGTTATTAGTAGTCCTAGACTTTAAATTAACTACTGTCAAAGAGCCACCATGGAAAAATGAATCCTACTGAGCAATCCTCTGTCTCACCAATCCTCCCACATCAGAAGAACTTGCAAAAGTAGCATTTAAGCTAAAGATGATTCCACAAAGCTAGCGCCCCTAGCAGCTCAGTCAAGTCACGATTTGGACCGCTGCCATGTGCCACCGCTCTAGAGCATTTTGCAACTCAACTTCTACAGCATCGCTGAGCTTGTCTCACCCACCTCTTAGATACCTGCACGTGCGCTGCTGCTCTGCTGCTCTTTCTTTCGAGGCGCAGGGTTTCTCGAGGCAGCAGTGACCGAGTCGGTGGTCGTGTTGCCCCTCCATCCCCAACTGAAATATACCTTTCCCCTGAAGCGGATGCTTCCCAAGTACACCTGGTTATGGGGCAGTTCTTCCAGGTTCTGCTGACAGCGCGGATGGTCCCTTCTTTTGTAGTTCCAGTTTGTAACAGGTAACTCCCATTTCAAGGCTCCTTGCTACTTGTTCTAACGGTCTATTTACATTCCTCCTGCCGCCCTGGCATTTGGTGTCCACAATCTTCACGGTCCACAGACATTGCTATGAAGGGAACACTCTCCCAAAGCATCGAGCCTTCCTGTGCTGCAGCAGTTCTAACAGGATAGCAGTCCCTTCAGGGCAAACCAGGATACCAAACTAAACTGCTGCATCGGTACCAACAGAGCTGCACGGCACCTAGAACAAACAAACAAATAAATAAGATAAAGAGACAAAAAGAAAAAAGGCAGTGAGTGGGCAGAACGGAATTAGTAGCTCCCCAGGGGAGTCCCAGCTTTGTATTTCCAGGCAGAGGACATGTACAAGGAGACCACAGAGGTGCTAACAAGGCCAGAGAACGGACAGAGGGCTCTGGAGCAGAACTGAGGCCTCAGGAAGGGAGTCCGCAGGGACTAGAGGGGTCCTACCAAGACCAAAGGGCCCAAACAGAGCTGGAGCACAAAAGGAAGCACTCGAAGAATACTCCAAGGTAAAACAAAGGCATTTCTGGGGTTCTTCGGGATGGAGAGACCTGGACAGCACAATAATAATCTCCGGAGGAATCTAGCGCAGATTAAATATACCTAAGGGAAGCCCAACTGAACAGGCAACTAAGGGAAGCGCGACAACCAGGTCCCGCCCGGGACAAGGAGCAGCTCAGCCCTGGCGGACACCCTGCCCTGCCCCTCCACCACTTCATCCCCGGGGCACCGCTCTCGCCCACCACGTCCTGGCCCCACCACCCTTACTGGCCCCGGGGCAGCTGCCCCGTCCCGGCGCGCCCCGAGCCTGCCACGTGGCCCGGGACCCCCGCCCGGGCGGCACCCCCAGGGACAAACGCGCTCCCCGGCCCCGCTCACCTCCTCCGGCACCCGGTCCAGCGGCGGCTGCTGCTCGGCGGCAGCGTCCGCCTCGCAGCGCGGCCCCAGCGCGAGCTGTCCTCAACGGCCGTCCCGGCCGCAGCGCCTGCCCGCCCCTCCACAGCTGCCGCTCGTCCCGGCCCCGGGGCCCGCAGCTGCCGCCCATCACCCAGCGGGCCGGCAGAAGGGTCGCGAGCCCCATCAGGGACAGCTGGGGCGGCCAGAGCAGCAGAGCCTCCCCCCCCACACCGCCAGCGGGTGGCTGAACGCGCGAGGCGGAGCCCTGGCCCGGGGTGGGGACAGTCAGGTGCGGGTGGCGCCCTCAGCCCCCGTGTCCTGCGGGGAGGACAACCCTGGCGAGGACTGGAGGCTGGACAAGCACGGCCCTTGTCCCACAGCCTCCTCTCAAAATACCCTCTTCAGGCAAAAGACGAGCAAGTTGACCTCATCCCCCTTCGACTTGGGTTTAAAATTGGCCCTTGGCTTTCAGAGCGGGAGGTGCCTTCTCCTTGGATGCGGCGGGTGCGCAGGGGAGAACTCTCTCGGACGCGGGTTGACTGCCACCTGAGGAGCAGGCTCCTCAAGGGGCCGAGACTCCTCTCCCACCTTCTTGGGGGGTGGTGATTATTTTCCATTGGTGCATCAGAGGTAGCCAAGAACCCAGTGGGGTAGCAGAGAAATTCCTATGCAGATATCTGAAACGTGCTTTGTAAATGCTACACTTGAATAAATCGCACTATTCTTGAACTCGACTAATTCGGTTGAATGCAGTTTGACCTATAGTCGACAGACTGTGCATGAATCTGGTGTGGCCGCAGTTGGGCTTTTTTAGCTCGCACGGTATTGAGTAGGCCCAATCAGGAGGTGAATGACTCTAGGCACGCCAGGTCCCTGTAACCTATGAGCATCAGCTGGAAAGCAGGGGCATTCATCTCTTCCCAAATCTGTCCCCTCTTCAACCTGCCACATCAGGTGAGAAGAAACACAACACGGCCTCAATAACACAGGAAATAAAACTGTGAAAGGGCACTAGGAAGGCAACACATGAATATTTTCTTTGTGTAAGGCCTCAATAAATTTCCTGGATTGGCAGCATTTGACCTCATTTGTGTCTTAATCTCACTCCAGGCATAACAGAGAGTGTTCACAGCTTGGGTCTTCCCAGGATGTAACACAGCACATTGTTGCCGATTAAAGGGGCTGATTACAAACAGCCGGCCATCACCTGGCTCACGGAGATGCTCTTAGCTCCTTCACCAGCAACTTGCTTGTCTTTTTTTATTTTTTCTTCACTTTCTGTTCCTTTTTATTTTCCTGCCCTATTAAATAAAAAATAAAAAAGTAACAATAAAAAAAGGAGTCCTTAACTCGCAGTTTTATATTTGTGCACTCTATAAGCACCACGCATAGCAGGATTATCCCGGAAAGCCTGCATCGGGCATGCACGGAGGCAATCCGAGAGGCGTCACAGAAGAGGAGACAAATACCTGAGTCCCCTGAATGTTAACCCGCCAACAGGCTCCACTGAGAAAAGCTGTCCAGTGTCCTTCGCTATAATTGGACTACATCAAAAAGTGGGGGGCACAGATCGCATCCTGCAGTTGTCTGAAAGTGCCGCCCTCCTTCCCTCCCTCTCCCCCCACCCTCGCAGAGAGCACCAGAAGAGGTAGCAGCGGGGTCGCCCCCATGGCCCAGCAGAGCCGATCGAGCTTCAGCCGGCTCGGTCCTGAGCTTCTCGCCTTCCTCGGGGCTCCCGCCCCTCTCGGTGGGTCTGTCGCAGCCGCCAGTCTCGCGGACACCGACACTTTCTCCCAGTCCTCTCCTCCTCTTCCTCCTCTCGCGCTGCTCCCCTGCCTCCCGTCACCTCCTTTCCAGCGGCGAGCGCACGTCCCTGCCGCCCCCGACATGAACGGGAACCCTAAGGGAACATGCGAAAAGAGGGCAGGTCGGCTCCGCGGAGCCGGATCCCCGCCACCCTGCACGGTTCCCGCTCCGAGCCCGGCACGGCTGCCTTCACGGAGCGATGCCCTCGGTGGTAAGACGCAGCTCGAGCCCCGCGGCCACCCGAAGGACCGCGACACCCTCACCGCATCCCTTCTCCTGTCCGGGACCGCGCAATCGCCGGGCACGAGCGGACCGAGCGGGACCCGCGGGGCGCAGGAGGGAGCCGCGGTGCCCGTTAGGGACCGGCGGGGTGCAGAGAGCAGCGAGGAGGCTCGGGGGCCCCCCGGGACGGGACGGAGTTACCGCGAAAAGGCTCCGCGGCAACACTGCCCGTCTCGCCAGAGAACACCGGAGAGAAAATGCCACTCGAGTGAGTACCCAGACGCGGCGGCGAGTCCCGGTAAGCGCGGTGCCCTACCCGTTCTGAAAAGGCAGAAAACAGCGGCAAGCAGAGCAGCCGGCTCGGCGGGCAGCAGCAACGTGCAGTCTTCTACGGGAGCAGCGTTTCCATATTTCTCTACTATGACTTTTTTTTTCCCCCGCGCCGCACACCAAAAACGATATTCGCTTCGTGGGCGGGAGCGTCTTAAAGCGCAGTACCTGTGCCGCACCTACACGTGCCGCCCCCTGCCGGACCTTTAAACGTGTTTTCTTTTTGCGATTGCGCAATCGAGTCAACAATCAGCACATGCGCCCTGATCTTTTTATGCCGACCTTTTTCTGCGCACGTGCAATAGGATGCAGACACTGCGCAGGTGTACGGATTTTTTTTTTTTTTTTTTTGCGCATGAGCACTGTTACTTCAATGCTGCACATGCGCTTTTCCCGGCTAGCTTTGGCGCATGCGTTCTCGCCGTCCTCTAGCGCAGGCGCATTTGGGGACATGGAGAACACATGCGCAATAGCCCATCAGTCGAGCGCATGCGTACTGAGTGGCGATTGTGCACGTGCGCAGTGTAGTCGCAGTCCTGCGCAGGCGCAAGGCAGACTAATGATAGCGCATGCGCTCCCTTCTCTTTTTTTTTTTGTATTGCACATGCGCACTGACAGCGCAGCAGCCGACTCTATTGCGCATGGGCAGGACAACACGGGTGGCACACATGCGCTTTGCGGGGCTATATTGCGCATGCGTATTGCTGCCTCAAAGCTGCGCATGCGTTACTCACCCAAATTTTACGCATGCGTTCTCGCCTCTTCTTCGGTGCATGCGCAATAACAACATGACAAACGCATGCGCACTGAATGGCAATTTTGCGCATGTGCAATAGCATTTCTTCTTTGCACATGCGCACTCCTGAGTTTAAAGACGGCGCCTGCGCTTTCTTCATGCTGTCTTGCACATGCGCACTGACAGACCAGTGGATGACTTGCGCATGTGCACTGCAACGTTGGTGGCGCGCATGCGTTTTTAGGGGGCTGCATTGCGCACGCGTGGTGTAACCTCAAAGTGGCGCATGCGCTCTTCGCGGCTAAATATGGCGCATGCGTGCTCTCAGCCTTCTCTGGCGCATGCGCATTACCACCAAGACAGCACATGCGCACTGCGTGGCACTCCTGCGCGTGCGCAGTCGCGCAACTGCGTCGCTCATGCGCACTCCTGGCGTTAAAGACAGCGCATGTGCTAGCCACTCACGGTGAGGGCACATGCGCACTACGAGGACAGCAGCCGAAGCTAGTGCGCATGTGCACTAGAATGTTTGTGGCGCGCATGCGTTTTGAGGCGAGATACGTGGCGCATGCGTATTGTCACCTCAAGGTAGCGCATGCGCCCTTCGCGGCTCAATTTCGCGCATGCGTAGTCTCCGCCTTCTCTGGCGCATGCGTATGACGAGGAAAGCGTGCACATGCGTACTGCGCGGCGATTTTTGCGCGTGCGCAGTGGCGGCATCGCGCTGCTCATGCGCACTCCTGGCGTTAAAGACAGCGCATGTGCTAGCTACTCACGGTGAGGGCACATGCGCACTACGAGAACAGCAGCCGACGCTATTGCGCATGTCGTTAGAATGGTGGCGGTGCGCATGCGTTTAGGGCGGGGGGGGGCCTTGCGCATGCTTGTTGACACATCAAAACGGCGCATGCGCTTTCCGTGGCTAAATTTGACGCATGCGTTTTCACCACGTTCTCTGCCGCATGCGCATTACTAACAAGGTGGTCGCATGCGTAGTGCGTGGCAATTCTGGGCGTGCGCAATGCAGGGAGACGGCTCATTGCTTCGCGCATGCGCAGTCCTATAGGGCATGTGTTCACATCATGATGTTGCACATGCGCACTAGCAGCAGATTAGTGATTATTGCACATGTGTTTATTACTAGTGATTGTTGCGTATGTGCACTATAAGGCTGTTGGTACGCATGCGTTTTGGGTTGTGGTTTTCCTGCGTGTGTGCACTTGGAAAATCAGGGGTATGCCTGCGAGTTGGCTGCTGATTTCTTTTTTTTTTTTCCCTGCATGCGCGCTGTAGGCCTCCTCCTTCTGCCTGCGCAGTTGCTTGGGTCTTAGTGATGGTTTCAGTTGAGGGGGGGTGTGCTTTCGTCTTCCACTGTTCATCTGCTGCTGCACGTCCGATCTGTAGTCGCTTTAACATCTGTGGTGTGTACATCCAGTCTCCATTCTCTCTCCAATCCCAATCGGCCCGCCGTGCACCGTTCACTACCCACAGATGTCTTGTACACATATACATGCCTCACCTTTCATGAATGGGCTGTTCTCCTTAAACCGGGCTGCAATTAACAGCTGTCTCTGCCGAGAGAACTTGCCAGTCCCACGGGCTTATTATGTATGATGCCTCTTTATGCTGCTACCTGGAAAAATAGCAACCACGTTTCGTTTGCACTCCTCATCTTTGTATACTCGAAGGAATCACTGAGCCTGGCGAGACCCGGAGTTCATGTGCCGCTCGTTACCGTTGCAGCGCCGATTTTATGTCACCGGAGGGCGGCAGTGAGCACGGCGGAGCGCGCCGCACAGGCGTGTGCTCCTTGACCTTTGCAATACACATTTTTGGACACATGATGGCAGCGGTGAGCGCGCTGGAGCGCTCTGCGCATGCGCCTCCTGTCGTGTTGCACTGTGTTCTTTTGGGCACTTGAGGGCAGGAGAGTTCCCGGCAATGCGTAATACGCATGCGCAGTCTGTTACACCTCTGCGCATGCGCAAGAAGTCACGCGGCTCGAAGAGTCGGACGCGTGAGCTGAATGGGGGCGGGGGGAGGAAAGCGCATGCGCGCTGTCCCCTCCCGCTGGTGCATGCGCGATGAGGCTCCCGCCCGGCGCGTGCGTGCATGCCCCCCTTTCAGCTTGGGCGAACTCAGCGGGTGCCGGCGGGCACCGAGAGTAGGTGTAGTTTTGTGAATAGCCATCACGCCTCAACCCCCATTACGGTCTGAAACGAACACAAATGGCTCAAGGCTGTGTTTTATTAAGATAGAGGTATACGCATATATATCTGTGCCGTTGCTGGACTACAGCAGGCACCTTCTCCCAACCCATGGACCAGAAAAGTTGTGCCGTCCACTCCGCACCTGCTGTTATCAGGAGTTTTCCGCAGGCCAACGACGCGCCAGCACAGACTTGAGCACGCGCATTCCGCTTCCCTTGCGGTACCGACTCTTCCGCACCGCAACGCAGCACCGAGCGCGCACGGCGTGTGCACTGCTCTTGCTGGTGCTGCAGTACGCGCCTTCTGCCAGGCAGCGGGCAGTAGCGTACGAGCCGAGACACACGCGCCTGAAAACACTGCTGCGCGCATGTGTACTGCCGTTTCCATTCGGCGCACACGCACTCGGCTCCCCTTGCCGTGCATGCGCCCCGTCACCCCAGCGGGGCGCGGGCGCACCATCCCCCCAGCCACGACACCTCGTTTCGGCGAGCGCAGGCGGCGGCTCTGGTTTCCAGCGGCTCCGGCGTCTTTCTGTCCTAAATCCCACTCCGAGCCCGCTCGCTGTTGGCGCGTGCAGCCAACACACGTGGTTGGCCCCGTCTTTCCCAGAAATGGACACACATTTCCCTGGTGCCTGGGTTGAGGCGAGCAGCTGCTCAAGGCTTCACACAGCAAACGTTCCTCTGAACATTGGGAAACACAGCCCCAAATTATTTATAAAATAAACCAAATAAACTAATCAACCCAAACAAATCAATACAATAAATAATGCTGCTGGTGCCCTGCAGCTCTCGCCCTTGGGCTCATGCACTGTAAATCCTTGCACCTAGGTATTTCTGAGAAAAATGGCTAATCACAAAGCTACACAGTGGTCACATCTCTGGCTTTCTTGGAAGCCGGAGCCTCTGTCCGTACACCCTGGTAGACAGGAAGTGAGACTTGAGATTAGGTTTGCAACTTCCTGGTCATTTAATAAGTTAATAGGTTCGGCCATTACACAGCAATGGAATTCTTCTGAAACACTTGGAGAGGTGCTCAATTTCATTCATTTAGCCTGTACTTAAGTTTGCCTTTTAAATTCTCACCTCGTAAGAAGCTAAACAGTGCCTATCCTTTTGTCTAAACATTCTGGGGTTAAAAGAACCCACCCCGGGAGCAGGCATCCAGTACAAAAGAGCACACACGTGAGGAGCGTGGGTATTTGGTCCCGTACCTGTACGGATGAGGAAGGGTGCGGAAGAGCAGTCATGCCTGTCAAGGGAGCTGTGGTACCGCAAAGGCACAAGCACCTTTTCCATTTCCAGCTGCCACTGAGGTTATTACTCCAATTGTGATCCGAGGGGGAGCGATTTGCGGCACAAGGCAAAAGCCTGCAACGCACACCAACAGCAGCCACCCCGCGCTACTCCAACAGCTGCCCCGAAACCGCCTCTCCGTAGGCTCAGCGAAGAAGGGACTGACAGTCGTTCTCTTCCACAGCAGTGCGGCTAAAGACATAAAGGTGATCCAGACCTTTCACATGTAGCCATTTCCCAACTTTTAACTGTCACATGGGGGGGGTCCGGCCCCTTTCCAGGAGGGCTCCGATGAAGCTAAGCGTGAGGTGCTTCTGCAGCTCTGGGCACCCGCGAGCCCTTTAGCAGGCCAGCTGCATCTCTCGAGCGGGCACCCAGAGTCACAACCATCAGAGGCGGCAGGGAGCAGCCTAAGCCCCAGCTCCTCCAGACCTCTGCTGCCCACACAGTGGGACGCACTGGGCAGTCTTCTCTCAACCAATGCCGGCAGAAACTGGACTATAGGTCATAGACACCGTGGAGCGGGAAGACAAGAAACGAGAAAAGGGTTTCTGCGCAGTCTTTCTGCCTGGCTTCTCTCTCCTTCAGTTCTCACCTGGTGGCGTGCTGTCACCAGCTTTAGGCTTGGCTTTCGACTTAAAGGAGAAGCGCTTGATGAGGCGGCGGGAGAAGCTGCCGGCTTTTGTCCTCGGGGCAGAGCTGCTGCTGACGTTCGACAGGTCATCGTGCGAGTGGCTCAGACCCGCTTCCTTCTGCTTGCTCCTTCTTCGGAAGATAAGCTTGGTACCGCTCCGAAGAAAGCTAACTGCAGCGACAGGGGAGGCAGAACGTCAGGGAATGAGCGACGCCAAGTTCCATAGTCTTGGAGCACGCTGCAAGCGCCAGGGCTGCAAGCGAAGACATCCAAGGCATGCAGCCTGCCTAATTGACAGCTGTTAGCACAGAAAGTCTAGAGCAGGACCTCAAGCGGGACACAGTGGCTCCACTGCTTCCGGAGGGAACGAGCGGGGACATCCTACGGCCTTGCGAGGCAGAGGGGCTGGCTGCCGTGATGCTAACAAAGGCCACAGTGAAGAGAAAGGGGCGGGCGCTTAGGCCTGCACCATCCGCTTTGTTCAATAGCCTGTTCTGTGCCCATGCAGCAGAATTCAGGAGCTAGGGGAGTCCTTCTTTCAAGATGGGAGCATATGCGCCTGATCGGCACAGCAGAAGCACGAGAGTTGAAATAGCTTCTGGGGAATGTGCAAGCTGCTACAAGCCCCCATTTGACGGAGCACAGAAACCTTCAGACCCTCAGGTAAGGCGACACCCTCAAATAGAGATGTCTGGGACCACTCCAAAGAGGACAGCAAGAGCGAGAAGAGCTCTCCTTGGGGTCTGCTGCAGGCCACCATCACCGAGCCAAACAGCGGTAGAAGACCCACACTTTGGCAGACCACACGGCCGGCATCTCACCCTCGAGCAGAGCCCAATAGGCTGACGAGCGTTACCACCCAACAGCTCCTCCTCACCTTTGTGATCTTTCAAGCTCCTGGTCTCGAGAGCTCCCGTGGAGCCGGTTTCCGACTCAACATCTTCCACCGATGGCCTCTCGGAGATGTCAGATCGCGTCGTCTCATCCAGTTCCTGGCTGGCCCTTTGTCCTGACAGCGATGCCTCCGACAGCTGGGACGATTCGGTGGGAGCATGTCCCTGCCCAGCCACGCCTGCTGCTATGGGATCCCCATATGCCGTGGCCTCCAGGGAGGCAGCATAACCCAGAGAAAGGGCCATTTCATCTTGGGCAATGGGCACCTGGAAGGGGTTCAAGGGAAAACAAAAGGAAGTCAGGGCCTCAAGGAGGAAATTCACCCACTTTTTTTCCAGCCACACCTACAGACGGATGGTCCCGTTTGGCTCTTCGGGGCTAAAAAGTACGAAGGCAGAGCCTCTGCTGTTGCGCGGAACCGTCCCGGAACATACTCGACTCCACCTTATTGCACACTCGCTCCCGCAGACGACTCCCCCCAAGAACGCTCTGCGGCTGGACCGCAGAAGTGCCGAGCACCTTTGCTCCCCACCGGGAAGAAGCGACAAGCAGCAAGGAAGCAGCAGAACGCTTCTGCAGAGCGAGTCTTCTGTGCTGCGGCATGGCCGCCCAAGGCTGCTCCCGACAGGAAGTGCTGCTTTCACCAGCACATCCTTAGAAACAAGGGCCCAGACCTGAGATGGAGCTCCCGCAGTGCCAGTTACCTTGGAAACTCCCGAGATGATCAGCGTGCTCCGTTTCGTTGGGGTCTTCTTGGCGGGCTTGTTATTTGCCTCGGTCAGCTGCCGAATCGCCGTCTCGGCCACCGGATCCAGGCCGTTGGGCATGTGGCCGTCCCCTGAGCACAAGACGGATACAAACAGCACCCTTTAGCAGCAGCAGAGCTCACTTGCCAAGCGCAGGGCTTTTAATGGGCAACCACACGTGCGAGACTGGAGAGAATAGCACTTCCTAGACTCAGGGCAACGAACAGAGAGAAGGAAGCTCCGCAAAGCGCTCAGCTCCTCCAAGCATATCAGGGCGATGCACCCTGCCCCAGACTCGGAAAGACCTCCCAGACGTTAGGGAGCCCCTGCTGCAAAGAGTCAAAGCAGCCACAGCACTGTGCCTGGGAGACAGTCAGCGAGCCAAGTGCACGGCTAGCAAAGCTCGCCGCCTCCAGATGCCTCGCGGATCTTCTTGGCAAGCAGTGGAACGCCCCGAGTCAGGCCCTGGAGAGTCACGGGGGAATATAACACTCCTCTCCCCTCTGTGCTCAGGCCCTAGGACATTCTCTTCCACAGCAACTGCAGTTGAGGTAGTTGACCCACACAGAGACCTGGGAGACTCGCCTTACCAACCCCATTGGCAAGAAAGAAAGGCCAAGGAACAATCAGTGCTCCAGGAAAACCCTCAGGCCTCCAAGCACTTACAGCTACCACTGGATACGGTGCTGCGAGGACAGCTGCTCTCCAAAAGCACTGTTGTCTTCTTCTCAGTCACTTCCACTTTGGATGGCGACCTTGATGGTGAATCTGCTTGCAGGAAGAGACAGAGATACTAGATTAGCAGGAGGCAGACACCAAGCCTGGGTAAGGTCAGCACCTTAATAAAGTGAAATCCACGCTGCCTCAGGCAGCTGCAGCGAGCCTGCAGTGCCCAACTCCACATGCCTCACTCACGGCGAGGAAAAAGCACGACAGCTACTGGAACAGAGCACGTGAAGCATCCCTGGCATGAGGCCCTGTTCGTGCTGCTCTCAGACCTATCCTACAGAGCAGCCAGCACCATGTTTACCAGGCTCTTGGACTGCGAGCACCAACAACCGTAACTCAGTAGCCTCAGCATGCTTTCAGTCCCGCAGTGAGTAGGCAGAGCACCAGTGCCTCAGAGCAGCAAGCACGTGGAGTAAGAGCAGCACAGCAGTAGATGCGGCGACGTGCCAACCCAGAGGGCAATAGCATTGCCCACCCAGGCCCTGCTTAAGAGGCGAGTCAGCAGCAACCGCACCACACGAAGGCGAGGCGGTCTGGCAACCGCCCGGGGCGAGGAGTCTCGAACAATCCCCGGACAATTTGGTTCCTCCCATAGGCAGCACTTGGGCACGATGCCTTTTCCAGGGCAGCCTTACCCAGTTTGCAGTCTGCCTTGGGCCGGGACTGAATTGTGGTGACAGTAGTCACGATGGTGCCATCGGGCATGATGGTCCGGTCCATCTCGACCTTCTTGGTGGGAGTGATGCTGGTACGCAGAGACGAGGCGTGCTGAGCAGTCAGAGATGCGGAAGACTCCTGGTACAGCAGCTGCAAAGAGTAAACCGGAGGCCGCATGAGGCTCTCCTCCTCCCAGGAGGAAAGGCAGGCAGGATGGACGGCAAGAGCTACTGCTCAGGACTGTCGATACTCCTGCAAGCCACGATGCACCTCGGTCTCAACCTACTAAGCCTGCCCTTTCTGAAGGCCCGAGAAAGCCTCAAAGCCGCGGCGGCAAAGGCCCTGGCGAGCAGTCGTACAAGAGCGGTGCCGCAGGCCGGGACAGCCCACGTGCTCAGGCACGAAGATTCTTGCAGCCCTTTCTCCCACCAGTAAGGCCAGGCCCCCAGAAGCCATCCTCACTGGGATGTCCCTTGAATGGAGGGACACGCAGGAACCCCAAAGTGAGGCGCGAGGTGACTCGGGACACCCTTCTTGGCCTAGGACGGTCGGTCCTCCGTGGTACGCCCGGGCCTCATCGCGCTAGTCTCCAGCGAGGGACTAGCATCGATATGGGCATGGGCCGTGCGCTGGCAGAGCCCGTACAAGCGGCGCCTCACCTCCAGCACAATCGTCGCCTCAGCTGCCAGTGACTGCCCAGCTCCCGGTGCCAACGAGCAGACTTGTCTCCCAGATGGCCTTTTGCTCGAGGAGTCCAGGAAGAGCGCAGTGTGTGCCAACAGCACACCTGCGAGAGGGCAAGGGAAAAGAGAACACACCGCACCTCAGCCCCTCTGCCAAGGTCCCCTTGCCCTTGGGAAGCAGCTCTGCGGGCCAACCACGCACATCCGCAAGACTCCAGCCGTGCCCACGTTCTGCAGGGCCCCTCTGCTTTACTGCGTTGCACATCCTCTCAGTTAAGAGACACTTCAGTGTTGTGGCTTACTTCAAGAGGAGGAGCCACAGCCAGTACCCAACTGAGTGCCAATGAACAGAATTACAAGCCCTCTGCCGAAAAAAAGGGGAAAAGCCCTTTGTCCCTCTCTCCGCTTTGAGGTGGAAAATTACAGTCAGTAGGAGCCCCCGAGGTACCAGAAAGACCCCGAAGAGTGTGCAGCTACAAAGGAATCCCAGAGCTTTTTGGCACGTTAGTCAGCAGCTCGTGCAGCAGAGGAGTCCGACCCTTCTTCACAGAGCTCACAGCACATCACCTCGAGACAGGAGACCCCGCAGACTCAAAGCAAAGAATCCCTCAGCCTCCTTGTCCCCCAGTAAGAGAATCCCTTTTATGACTGCCCGTACTCACTGTCCCCTCTGCCACTGCTCCCCAGCACTCGCAGCTTCAGCTCCTTACTTCTAGGCCCCAACTCCCTGTAGAAACAGAAACAGACAGGCCGGCCTTGCACAACTGCCGCAGAGCAAGTGATCCCTTTGAGATCTTTTCTCTCCCTCAAACCCCCAGGCCTTGGGCATGCTGCAAAGAGGAGACCTCAAGCTTGTGTCCCATGCAGCACAGCACAGACTGCCTTGGGAAGCAGAAAAAGGCTGCGTGGAAGGCTCTGAACTGCAGCCCTTTGCCTCGACACTCCCCCACGCTCCCGTGATCAGAGCTGCTGCCCCCACGGTGAGAATATGCGGCCTCCAAGAGAGCGAGGCCTGGATAGGCGGGCTCGAGCCGATCGGCCCAAGTGCCGGGCAGCGCCACGCTCGGGCAGCGCAGCACAGCACAGCACAGGGGGCACTGGCCTGCGGTGCAGCTCATAGCTCTACGCTGCCTGCCCTCGTGTCCGCGTTGTGGCAACGATAGCCCGAGACAGTGCCAGTCCACCTCTGCTGCGCCACTTACAGAAGGAGCTCCTCGTTCCACTGCATCTCCGCTGCAGCTCCCACACCGCCAGCTTTCAGCGGCTTTGTGCATTTCTGCTGCAAAGGGCTGTCAAGCTCCGCCACACAGTGTATTTCGCCAACTCCTGCCATGAGAAAAGAAAGAGCACATGTGCACGTGGCAACAAACACAAGGCACGTCCTTTCCGTTCAACCCGGCCACAAGTTCCACACTTCTGACCTCAAAGCGCCTCGGCTGGTCCTGCTGAAGAGCTAGCGGCGCCTTTGTGCTTACCTGCCTTCCCGGTGCAGCCCAGGTTCAGCACCTGCAGATTCCGGAGCAGCAGCTTCGACCCCAGAGGGGCTGCCCCGCCGCATGGCCCTTCTCGCGTCACCTGAGTGCCGGGCACCTGAGGAAGCGACGAGAGCGAGACTGACGCTGCAGACACCAGCGAGACGCACGGCATTAGCTTTATCCGCGTATCGTGCAGCTCTCTGCGCCAACGCACAGGAACACCTCGGATATTGCTGGAGCTGTTAACCAGCAGCAGGCCCACTATTTTTTCCCATATGATTAAGCACGCAGAGATAGAGAGAGTCAAGGATCAGCTTGCAGGCTGCCGGAAGGGCAAGTGAAGATGACTAACAGTCTCAGCTCAGTAAAGACTGTCCTGCTGTGGAGATATCCTGTACTCACTGGCATTTGCTCCTGACCTCTCAGTCCCAATTCCCGCTCTATCGCTCCTCTTAAGCCAGCATCTGGACTCTCCCCCGCTTGTAAATACTACCCCGGAGCCCCAGTGTTCAGAGAAACTGCCAAAGCACAGATTTCTCCCCAGGACTCTGCCTTCCTTGCAAAGCGGCTGCAACTCAAAGCTCAGAAACCAGGTACAAACCAGCACGTGCTCTTCAGAGCGCTCATTCTTCCTACCCTAGCCTCGGGGCACATACCCCATTCCTGCGACAGTACGGTCAAGGATGTGGCTGCTGCCCATCTTGCCTTGGGGCAGGGTTCAGGTCTCGACTTCCTGCCTAAGCCCTCGGAAGGACATCGGGGCGCGACAAAAGACAAGGAGAGCCTTACCGCAGCGGCGTCGGCAGCGCAGGCCTTCAGATTCACCATCACGGCTGGCTGCGTGCTGACAATGGTATCCTCTATCAGATCCTTTATGGTGCACAGATCCACTCCTCCTTCATTCTTCTCTCCGTAAATGAGAAGGAAATGCAGCAAAACCATAAACAAGCAGACAGAGTTTTCTCCTCACACAGTTTCATTCCCATTCACTGCCTCTCAAAGCCACCGAGGCACTGCACAGCCTCTTGGCCAGGGTCACGTTCTTCCTGTCTCGCGCTATCCTCTGTGCAGCAGCTTTGAGCAAAGAGAAGCTGCCTACTAAGACAAAGTAGGCCTTTACAGTTGTAGTCTAGCCCACTGCAAGTGTGGACAAAACAGCCTTTACAGTTTATTAAACCACCAGCACTCGTGGGCTCTGCACACACTAACATCAGCAGTAAGTAAGCAAATAAGCAAGCAGCTCTAGCAACAACAATGGGAATCCCTACATCAGAGGCAAGCCATCTTGGCTATGCACGCTCCCATTCGGATGCTACGCAAACCCTGGACAACAAGCATTGGCACCGGCCTGGCTCTCCCGAGGCCGCACGCTCTCGGTACAAAGGAGCCTGGGCCGGGACCGGACTGCAGGAATCCCCCTCCTTGCCCATAGGAGCCACAATGGGAGGCTGCCACCTGCCCTGTAGAGGACTCCTGCTCAGCGCAGAGCGGTTTCCACCCCTCCTGACCTTCCCACGGTTGAGCCTGGCCTCCTCCCGTCGGCTCACCTTATGAGGCAGAAGTCTCGGAACGACCGAGAGGTTGAGGTCAGGTCTGTCCTTGAACGCCCACGACACCAGGAGACCCTCATTCTGCATCTCCTGCAAGTGGATCTCCACCTGGGCCAAAACAAGCAGGCACCGTCAGGAGCACTCGTGACTTTCATTTTTTACACATTCCAATTCGAGCACTGAAAGGGCCGCACAAAAGAGTGGCAGGAAGAGCCAGAAAGACAGAATGCAAGCAGCCCAGGGGCTATGGGCAGAAGCAGTTGCAGAAGCCATGCAGCGCCACGGCAAGACCTGACTTCCTAGCTGCCTTTGCATGCACGGCGTCCACCAGAGAGAGGACAGAAAATGTCATTTTTCTGGCCGTGGGAAAAGCTCGAGGGACACTGAAAAAGAGACCGCTAGGTACTACCGTGAAACATTTGCTGAGCAGGCTCCATCAACCGCTGCCAAGCCTGAGCACATTTCTCAGGTAGCCCTACTCTAAGAAAGCATTTTCACACCAAAAACTTACCCGCGTCACCAAGCAGCTTGCAACAACAAAGCAAATTCGAATCGATCCTGTGATTCCAGTGAAAAATCCCTTTTCCATTCACCTTTAATACAAGAGTCAGCAATAGGACTACACAGAAAGAATTCCTGCCCTGGTGTCTGCATAATGACAGCAGGCTGCCGCTTAGAGAAACCAAGATTAACAGCCACAACATTTTCCATGACCACAGAAGCTCCCGAGATGAAAGCGGCAGCCTAGGGACATGGCAGCCAGATAGGTTACCAAGCAGAGTGCATTTAAAAAAAAAAAAAATAAAAAAAAAAAAGAGAGATAGAGACGAGACACATTTGGGAAGGGAGAACTCAAACTACTGTGTCCCAGAGAGCTCTCTACAGAAACTTTCTCAGCATTTAAAAAGGCAGCACAAAGCCAACGCTCAGAATACCGCATGCAATTCCCTGCAGGAAAGACCAGCCCAAATCTTCAGCAGATGCCCACGTGGAGATCTAGAAAATTCCAGCATGTGAGAGGTACAATCTGACAAAAAGTATCAAGGAAGATCACCTGGGTTCTACAGAGCAAGCAAAGATGAGCGGGGGCTGCAACTGCCAGCTGCGAAAACATCAGCATTGGCCGAGATAAACACCAAGAGGAGAGGGGAGCTTCCTAAATAACTGCGGAACTATGAGAACAGACAGATCCGAGGAAAACCTTCCGACTGTAACAACCGCAAAAGCCTGGCACTGGCCTTTACAACTCCCGAAGCTACTTTGAATCCTTCTGCCTCTTCCTAGGATCCCGGAGGAAGCAGTCTCCCAGCAAGATGCCACTTCAAGCACCGAGTCCTTCTTACGGAGGGGAAAACGAAAGTCTGGAAAAGGCTATCCAGGCGGACAGCAACTACAGAGGGAGTGCCCACTGCAATTTCACAGAGCATGTTTTCTGCAGAAAGCATTTCCCATACCCAAAGCAAAAACCAGAATGACACTCCTGGGAAAGTGTTGAGGAGAGCATTGTCAAGCAGATAGGAATTCACAGAGTGAAACTTTCTCACTCCAACAGCAATACAACTGTGTGACCAGTGCCGTGGGTTGAACTGTGTGACCAATGCCTCAAATCTTTCCAGTCCTGGATTTTGTGACATCTCTATTATGCGGGCAAGATCTATGGGACAACACCTAGAAAAACCGACTCGGTGCACAAATCAGGAATATCTGCCACACTGCCAAATAAGAGGGACAGAATGCTTCTCGTTCTGGCACAACGAGGCCTTCACTTGCACTAAGCCCTCCTCGCCGAGTCAGAGCAGGAGCGGCAGAAAGAGGAAGTTCAGCGACAAATGTTTTACAACAGTTACCTGAGCCTGCAGCAGAGCCAAGGTGACATGATAGGTATCCACGGAAACAGCGGCCGGGGACTGCTGAGCAACAGAGACAGGGAATTTCACAGCTTCAGCTGTGAGACTGCAGCGTAGCACCTGGGAAGCAAAGATGGGACAAGGGTTTATAGTCTCGCTGAAACGCAGGCACGTGACGGCAAAGCCTGTAAAAACAACAGCTTGACCCATGGCGGCAAGGAGGGAATGGCAGGCTTAGGGCCAGGCCCTTGCGCGCCGAGAATCTGCCGTTTCCCAGCTCTGCCACTGAGGCAGTAAAGATGCGCCAGGGACACACGAACCCGCCTCCTCTCCCATGCAGAACCCCGACGCACGGGCCCAGCACCATACACCTCAGCCCTGTGAGCTTTCCCCTCGCAGCAGCGTCCCAGGGCTCGCCCATTCAATGCTGCCCTCATGCCCAAACCTCACAGGTCTGCTGCTAGGCCTCCGACCTGAACCAGAGCCTGGGCCTAACCTCGGCCCAGCCGCGTGGCAGCCATTGGGCCGGGGCAATCCCTGCGGAGCGCACCGCTCATTCCCAGGACAACGGCATCGCCTTACCATGCTGTGCTCGGTCTGCCCCTCGCACATCACGTCGCTTATACTGGCTGCTCGCGGTAGCTGAGCTCCCTCTTCGAACGTAATCTGCACCGAACTCTGCAGAAGGAGAATTCCGTTATGCCCCAGGGTGTCCCGGGCGCTTTGAGAGAGGAAGAGCCGCTCCCACAGGGTCCCAGAGCCATTTCGGGGAATCTCCGTGCGCCCGACCGCGACGCCGAGCTACCGGCACCACGGCAACGCCCGGCCGAGCCGCCGCGCACAGGGAAGGGAAACGGGCTCTGCTCACCCTCGTGAAGGCCACGAGTCATTGCAGAGCGGTGCCCTGAGTTAGAAAGGCATGGAGAGGGTGGCAAGAAAACTTCTTTCCGCAAGGTTAAGGTATTTTCAACAGCAGAAGATTACTTTGAGCCGCAAAAGAAAGAGCTGGCTTTGGGGAAACGTCACCAGCAGATTCGGCAGGTCTTCCGTTGCCAAGCAATAAACCAACCGAGCGCACCCTGACAATCCGAACTTTCCCGCCACGGAAGAGTCCCCTCTCTTTCAGGCTGTGGATCTCAGGCAAGGAAGGGCAGGCAAGGAATCTGCCTCCGTGCACAACGTTGGGGGGGGGAGGGGGGGGGAGCCTTCAGAAGGGAGGAGCCTGAAGGAAAGGAAGCAGAAGCAGAAGGAAGAGCTTCATCAGCTGACACGCTACACACCGGACTGGGCCTCCCCTATCTTCCTATACTCCATGTACTTATCACGGGCAGAACCTTATAGCACGTTACCTACTCTTGCTTAGGTGCAGCCAAGAGACTCGATTCCAACAGCCCGCCACAGGTAGTGGCGCAACAGCTTTCCATGGCACTGTCCCCTCGGTCTTCTTGTACCTCAGCGTGCAAGATCAACAGCACCATCCGCCTAGTGCTCACTAGCCTGCGGCTCGCACTCCCTGGACTCCACGCTCCGGACTGTTCCCACACTTGCTACGTGTAAAGGACTATTCTGTAGCTCCCCTAGACTATGAAGAAGGCTACTGGCCTCATACTGAGTAAGCAGTACGTGAATGGGACGAGAACACAGCAACGTGGCCCGTCAGATTTGCTTGCACTAAATCTTCTTCCCCTCTTTTGAAAGGGGCATGTTACCACGCTCTCTGCAGCCAACCATGAAGCACAAGCAACCAACAGCATTAGGAGACAAAAAGCCTCGCCGGACGAGGACCAGATGGATTGAGACAAGCAGGTGGCATATGTTTGCTTTGCTGTCCGGCCTTGATCTATGCTTCACGTCCGGAGGGTTAAATGCACCTTTGCGAAAAGCCCCATTTTGGGGCAAGCGTCTCGAGAGCAGAGCACTTGCCCCCCTGGAAATCACACCGAGGACACTTACCCAGAAAGCGAGGAAGAGCTCTGAATGCTCTCCCCTTTCACACCATGAGGAAAGGAACTAGAATATAGACACCCATTCTCATTTTCTGATGGCAGCCAAAAACATGTAAGGCGGAGAAGTCCAAAGCCATTGCGTTTCGCCGCTGAAAAGCACAACTGCACTCGCCACAGAAAATAAAGATTGAAAAAGCACATCAGCTTTGCCCAAGGCAACTGCAACCCTGACCGTGTGTTTGTGGAAAATATAAATGTCAATAAAGAAGAAAAAAAAAGCAATTTATCGACATCAAAAAGGACTCATACCCTCTTATTTCTAAAGCCTTTAAACATCAGCATTTACAGCAGAGCAAAAGTCAATGTAAAAAAAAAAAAAATAGGCCCAAACTAATTCACCCAACACTCGCCTGCTTCACTGAAACTGCAAGGAAAAGTCTTTTAAGTTTTGTACTCTTTATTCATTTGCTTTTATTGCACGGATGCAATGTTAAGTTGTTACTGTACTGCCTTAGGGGGGGAGGAAAAAAGGAGAAAAAACAGAATCCTGAGGGCTCTGATATGCTCTGCACTTAATTAAGACCATGGGACAGCAGCTACTCTTCCCTCCACTTTATGAACCCACTAGGAAATTAAATCTGCTATCTGCTTGTGAATGCAGCTTTTTGCAACTGGAAAAACTTCTCTGAAAAGCCGAGCACTTCACCTTGGGTGGGACACAACACGACACGTGGTCCTTCCTGCGTTGTACAGGATTCAACAGTTCTAGCGTGACAACTAGCTTGCCTTCCTCGACAGTCCCTCTCCGCAATTTCAGGAAAGGAAGACACAGCAGGAGGAACCTCTCCGCACAATGCGCTGGAAAAACTACCATTTAAACCCCCAGAAAGGAATTATTGCGGTGATTTGACTTGACCAGGCAGAAGGCATCGACCTCGTTAGCAACGGTTACGAGGGCAGGAAACGAGCCACAGTTTCTCCTTCCTCCCCTTTCCCTGCATTCCCCCGCAGTTCTCGCATTCTCAGAGAGCACTCTTCTGCCCTGCCTCTAGCTCAGGATTTAACTCATTTTGCCAAATCGGGGTAGTCCATCCCATTTCCGAACGATCACGATTTCACGTAACGCTCCCCACAACAAGAGCTCGATTCCCTTCTGCTAAAGGTCGGCTGCCTCATCTGACCTTTCGGCGCTCCCGGGTCTCCCAGTCGCCGACCCCAACGGGCCCCTTCCCAGATCAGCCGCCGGAAGAGGCAGCCCGGCACCAACCGCGGCCCTCGCACCTCGCAGGCCGCCCGAGCCGCTGCGCGGCGGCCTCCCCGCTCCTCGCCACGGCGCGGGGCGCAGCCCCCTGCACGCGGCACTCACGGCACAGAACGCCAACGCGATGGCGGCGGCCGCGGGCGCCCAAGGGAGCGCGCGGCAGGGGCGCCGGGGGCTGCTG